ATACTTATTAACCAATTTCAAGGATATTAATTACCAGTATGACCACAAAGAAACTTTTATAACTAACAAAATTAACAATATTTTCTCTTTATCATCTAATAATCAACTTATATTAAATATTACAGATTCATAAAAATGTAAAGATAAAAATAGGCTTATACATATCAAGATCTAGATAATATCTCCATTTTACACTTGTTTTGTGTCTTAAACATCTTTTAATCTAGTATATTATCTTCTTTAAAACTCCTCACTTTTTTTCTCAAACTACTGACATGAAGAAACTATATCAGTTTTTTGATAGACAAATGCTATTTAAAATTCATTGTGTATACGATCTCACACATAGTGTGATAAATGCAGACTCAGTGTCAGTATATCTGGAGTAGCTCAAGATTCAGCATTTTTAATAAGATGCTGCTGTTCCACAGATCACAAGGTGGGTAGAAAATCCATAGAAAGATTAACAGTTTGGACTTCTTTGGTTATTTTGGTTTCATTTTTTGGACATATTTATACTTCTGTAAGACCATCATCACAATCAAGATAATGAACATAGCCATCACCCCCAAATTTTCTCTTGTGACCCTTGGTAATACCTTCTTCCTATTCCTCTCCATCTCTATTCTCTCTCAAGAACTTATCTGTTTTCTGTCACTGTAATAGCTTTGAATTTTCTAGAATTATATATAAATGGAAACATGCAATCTGAACTACTTTTTGTCAAACTTCTTTCACTCAGCATAACTATTGGAGATGTCACTTTGTGCATCAATAGTTCATTTCTTTTTACAACTGAGCATTATTACACCAAATGGACATACCACACTTTGTTAATACATTAACTTGTTGGTGGGTATTTGATTTGTATCCAGTTTGGGCTATTATAAATAAAGTTGCTTTAAACATTCTTGTAAATGTCTTTGTATGGGCAAATAATTTCATTTCTCTGGGGCAAATATCTGAGAACAGAATGGCTGGATCATACGGTCAGCGTATGTTTAAGTTTTTAACAAACTCCGCATCTGTTTTCTACAATGGTTGTGCCGGGTTCCATTCCCACCAGCAGTGCATGAAAAGAAACTATATTCCATTTGGTGCAGCAATCTATAGTCTTAATTATTTTATGTTGATTGATGGTACTTTTAACATTTTTTATACGTCAGTGATTTTTTTTTGTCCTATTGGCATTTCAATAGAGGAGACCAGTGTTACCCACTCCACGATTATAACTGTCTACTTCTCCTTAGCGCTGTTGATATTTATTTCATGTATTCTAAAGCTCTGATATTAACTTCAGTCACATAGGACTGTTAGGCCTTTTTGATCAATTTACTTTTTTATCTTTATAAATGTACTTGTTATGGCAGGTAATACTTCTTGTCTTGAGGTCTTGTTTCTGAGATATTAATACAGCATTTCAGCTAACTTATGATTATTATTTTATGGTATATATTTTCTCATCCTTGTCCTTACAACCTATCTGTGTATTTATAATTAAATGATTTCTTTAGTACATAGTTGGGTTAAGTTTTTAAATCCCAAACTGACAAACAGTGCATATTAGTTGTTGTGTTTTATTAATCTCTTTTTAATGCAATGATTCATTTGGTTAAATTTGCTATACACTCTTGAGTTTACTTCTTTCCCCTTATTCTCCTGTTTATTATTGTACTAATAGAAGGTAATTTTTGGAATCTTTTTTCCCTTTCTTAGTCACTTAATATGGCCTTTTGTTTGTTTTCAGTGAGTTCTCTAGTGATTTTGGTGTGCATCCTTCACTTCTCACAGCAGTCTACTTGAATAATTGCTATATCACTTTATCTATAATGTAAGAAGCTGACCACCAGATAGTTTAATTTCCCACATCCCATTATTTGTGCCATTATATTCTGCATGTTATATATCCCATAATATTGTTATTAATTTATAAATAGTAAAGTATTTTTAAAATATTAATAAAAAGCCTTTTATATTTATCTATATATTTAATATTGCCTTCTAATTTCATTACTTTATGTTGGTTCATATGTCCTTCATTCTGAAGAGTTTCTACTTAATATTTTTATAGTGCAATTGTGCTATTGATTAGTTCTTCTAATTTGCTTTATATTACTCTTGTTTTGAAGGATATGTAATTACATGTTAAAAGTTTTTGTCTCAGAACTTTATGCATGTCATTCTATTGCCATCAGTCTTACATTATTTCTGATGAACATTTAATGGATATTCTTATTATTTCCCTTTTTCCTCTGGTTAGTGTTTAATATTTTCTCTTTATATTTTATTTTTAGTAATTTTACAATAACATGATTTTTGTTTGTTTTGTTTTATTCTTGCTTAGTGTTTGTTGAGTGTCTTTTTGGGTGGGATATTGTTCTGCACGTTTGAAAAACCATTGGCCACTATTATTTTCTCTTCTTTCTTTTTGGGGTTCCAGTTATATATATATGTTATACTATTTGAGATTGTCTCATAATTATTGAAATTCTCTCTATTTTAAAAAATTATTTTTTCTATTGTCGATGTTATCTTTCTACTTTAATTTGAATCATTTCCATAAAGCAATCTTTAAGCCAATGACATTTTCTTCTGTAATGTTCAATCTTTTGATAAAACAATTTTGGATTTCAGATATTATATCATTCAGTTCTAGGAGTTTCATTTTTTGAGTTTTTCTTTTTTTGCTGTGTTTCATCACATGGTCACTGAAATATTTGATATTTAGACAATTGTCATTGTAGACATTGTCATTTGATATTGTCATTTAGACATTGTCATTTGATATTTAGACAATTGTCATCAATAACTGGTAAAACTTTAAAAGAAAGGGTGACTAGGAAATTCATAATAAATGATTCAAATGACAGTGATGAATGAATGAATTCCTAATAAATCTTACGAACAAGAACAACAACTTCAGGACAGGAAACAAAATGTGACAAAACTAAGTATTTTGTGCCTCCAGATATCATGGAATATGAAATATACAGCATCAGCTATGAGTATTGTTGACAAATATTTAAAATTGCATCTAATCAAGACTCTACTAATTTAAAGGGAATAAAGAACTATATTAAACCACACTATGGGCATGCAGTCAGAAAAGTCCATAATGTGGGAAACTCTATAGGATCAATGACCTTGTTTGTTCAAGACATAAATGGAAAGAAAAATTAAATTTAGAGTCATGAATCTTGTGGATTAACTGAGACTTAACGAATGTCTCAACAAACTGCATTGTGTGGACATAGCTGAATCCTGACTCAAAGATGTCTAAAGAATTTTAATTTGAGTATTGGTTGGATATTTGATTATATTGAAGACTTACTCTTAATTTTTAGTATTCAATTTTGATCTTTAAAAAGGTCATATAGCATTTGTGCCCAAGTGTGTTTGTGTGTGTGTGTAATGAATGGTTAAAATGATAACGACATTTAAAATTTGTTTTAATATCAGGAAGTGGATATGTATATAGATTAAACAAGACTGACCGTGTTTTGATAATTTTGAACCTAAGTAATGGTATATAGGTGTTCATTATACTCTGTTTAGATGTATGAAGATACCATAATATAAAGTTAACATAGATGTTATTTACCCAACATTTTAAGCATAATTCATATCACTGTTAGTGATAGTTTTACAAATGTATACAAAATATCTTCTCATAAAGAAAACTGTACTTGTTCCAAATGTCTTCATTATTCACTAGCTATCAAAATATATATTTTAGCTATTTCTAAGCAACAGACATAAGAATTTCAAATATTTAACATAGGGTGAAATTCATCTTTAATTTTCACCTCAGCTGAATTTCTTCATGACTTTCATTAAGTAAACTTATAACAAAGAATACATCTGCTTGAAAGAATTACAGCGGGACCACAGGATCCCCGTTTATGACAATGTGTTCTTTCTTAATTAGGTGTTTTTAACAACTCTTCCTAATGAGCCAAAGACCTAAAAAGCCTGTCAGGGACAATCAAAAATATGTGGAGAAAATTCAAAACAAGGTCATATGAAAAACTAGCAGAAAGAGATTCTATGACTTTTCTGCTGATTATGGCATTGTAGATTGGACAAAATTATTTTTCTTCATTAATCCCAAACAAACAAATCCAATTTGGTTATACGGAGGCTCTATATAGATGTGGAAATTGCAAAGTTATTCAGTTTCATATAAGGGTGAGAATTACCAATCATATCATGGAGAGCTGGTATGATCAGTATCAGGTTAATGGAAAATTTTAAATGGAAAAGTCAGTAGCTTGAGTTTTTTGTCTTAGTATTTACATACTAAAAGATACCTTTCATCTCCATTTTATGTATTATAAACATTCAGCCATTTTACCCAAGCACTGTAATTTTTCATTTATTTTTTTAAAAATGGCTTTATTTCTTTGTTAAGATGAAAAACATTTCTTTCATATCTTTTGCAATATAAAAATATCTTAACAGGATTTCTATTCACATGATGTTTTATAACATCAGTATAAATCCGTGTAAATGTTTAAATCCCCCAGGTTTTAAGTTGAATTGCCATTTTGTCTATTTAATTAGCTATGTAAAATACCATAACATGGGAAACTGGATGCCAAAGCGTGTCTATTGAAAAAGAGGAAAAATGTCACATTTTTCCCTGGCTTGATGGTTGATTTAATTGGACAGTTTGAATTTTACTGAGATAGAAAGGAAGAAGTAAGCAGGTTAAATTTTTAAAAATATCTCAGTGTCAGTTATCAATCAAGGAGATTGCTAGAGCAACTTTTCAACCTTCAGGCAAATTTATGACTACAATGACTGAGCAGAAATTTGTAATTGTACCATTCAAATTATTGCTGAGTTACAAAACATAATTAAGTAGCTTAACTGGAAGATGAGTGTGTATTTCTGTTCCATTTTTACAGATGCAAAAGTTGTATCATGTCTTTAACAATTATGGGAGAAAATATTATTTTTTAAATGTCGAGAATTTTGTTTTGTTTTTTGTTCTCTAGGAATATGAAAGATACCTAAGAGTTAAAAATATTACAAGGGAACATAAGATTTTTGTTTGCAACATACTGTTTCTCTGAAGAGTACCAGTTGGAATCAAGATCAGAATGAATTGCTGCTTATTGCTGCCTTTTATGTTGGGAATTCCTCTCCTATTGCCTTGCCTTATAGCAACAGAAAACTCTAAAACAGAGGAAGTTAAGCACCCAGCGGGATCTCATTTGAGAGTGAGGCGGGGCTGGATGTGGAACCAGTTTTTTGTACCAGAAGAAATGAATAAGACTAGACATCACATTGGCCAGGTACTGATTTTCTGAAAATGCTACAGGAAATAACCTTGTAAATCTGATCGAAAGAGTGGAGGAGGCTTTGGTATTTGATGAATTCTCCGTTTTTCTTAGTGGAACCATTAGAAAGCTTCAAACACCAGCATAATTGATTGTTATATTTGCAAGCACCTAAAATAATCGCAAAAACTTGAAGAAGAGGGAAAGCTCTGGTTTTTAAATTTCACTTTAACCTCATACAAAATTGCAGCATTTATCAACATCTGGAAATGTGATGGTGTTATTTTTGGTAATGGATCAAATCCACCACACGGAGAACAGTAATGTTTATCAACGGTATTTAGCCTGGTTTTCCATTATGCTAAGTAGGTGTTGATTTACCCCTCATTAATTTTTAATGAAGCAGATTAATACCAAGTCCTTTTACAGTTATGTAGCTTCAAGAGCCTACACACTTCATTTGATTAGTGAAGTTGAAGTAAAACAAATAATTATTTCATTTTCTTATAAGAATACATTTTAAGAAAATTTCCTTAATGAGACAAAACATTTCCTATTTATGTTTTTGGATTTTACTATTATTTGATTTTCTTCAAACAGAGGTAGTTATAATATCATGTCCTTCTCTGTAAGGCTCTTTCTCTGGATGAATGTACTGAAATAAGTTTAACCAATAATTAACTGACACTAAAATTTAATTGGGCCCAAAGTGTGAAACACTCAAAATTTATTAACTCTCTTTTTCTAGCCCTTTTAGGAGAGCTGCAGTGTTAGTGTGTTGTCTGGATTCCATATGGGTTCATCTGTCCCATCAGCCAAATATATGAGTACATTCATCCAAAGGCCTAGATTAGGGTTTTAGGCAAACAGATTTCAATTGCGCGCGCGCGCGTATGCACCCGCACGCGCGTGTGTCTGCCTGCTATAAGTAATATTTCTCACCCCTTTTTATTTTCTAAGATAACTCCAGGTAAAGCACAGGCAGAACAGTGTGAGGTCCGTTGTTAAGTGTCTGCTAGTTACCTGAGTCTCTAGCCATATTTACAGTGGACTCCGCAGACCCCCATAGGCTCTCCCACCACTGAATAAGGAGACATGCTACTATTGGCAGGCGAATGTTAGTGGTAAGGCTCTACAGGGAAATGCATCAATGCAGTCAGAACAGGGACTAGTCACTGAATAACTCACATTTTCTGGGTTTTGTTTTTCTGCTCCCTACACATATCTCCCATTACCTCCTTTCATATAGCGGTTTATTTTGCTTCTTTTTCATTCTGTAAAAATATTTATGAAAATATTCTAACAGATTCTTTTCCTCTAAACAGCCTCATTAAGCTTAAACCACATGCAGGTAACTGGTTTAAAATAGAGTAATAATGAATATGTACATGCTTATAATAATAGAGCTGGTAAAAATAAAATGTAGTTGATGTGTCCAAAATAACTTTCTTTTTGATCTTTTTGTTAAAAGAGATTAAATTTGGAAAGCACAATTAGGTAAAAATTTAGTCATATTGATTTGCCAAATTGATAATAACTATGTAATTGAAAAAATATTTTTGAATGGAAATACAGAAAATTTTATAACACTAGAATCCACAAAATTGAAATGTGTTTAACTTATGCATTTTGTGACAACAGGAGGAAGATGTTCAATATTTTTTTAATTAAATATGGGTCCTTAAAAAGATCAAGCTCACTGATCTATGAAAATTAACATGAATGTACTTGAAATACATTTATTCATGACTGAATTTGACTTGTCTTCATTCTAACATTCAAATTTTCAAACTACATTGAAATAATATTTGGAAACCAGGGGCTATGCATTGCTTTCATTTGGTATACTTATTGGAGAATACATTTGTTTTCCACAATTTCTTATCACTGGGGCATGGGGATTTCACTTTTATGAGTAATGAAGGACTTTCAAATTTTAAAAGCTGTAACTCTTTTTTATTATCTTTTTATTATCTTCAATTTGGTTCTTTCATTGTAGAGCAGTGATGTTCAACACATTATTAAAATTAGTTATTTTAGATATCTTTAGATATTCTCCACAATCACATAGAAAAAATTATTAATTAGTCCAGAATAATATATTGTACTTCAAGCTATCAGAAAAATTATGAAACTAAGGTTGTATTTTTTGGCTAACTTTGTAAATTTTCAGAGAAGCTCTTACTTTGCAGAAGGGTATATTCATAAATGGTGAATCAAGAAAACCATGGATTTACAATAATTAAGAGATTATTCTCTAATGCTTCCTTTCTTTATGTAAAAATAAGTTGGATATGAAAAATCATACAATGTTACCTATATCATGACATCTTTTTTATATATAAAATTCAAAATTCCATTCACACTATGAATAATGAACAAATTTACTTTGCTCTTAAATAAATAAAATAGTGAGGACAAAAGAAGTACATTTGAGAACTGAGTGACCTATGTTGGAAAGGAAGAGTTAGAGTTAATTTGGCTAAAACTCAAGGACTAAAAGACCATGTTAGGTACTGGTTTGCAGGGGAGGATCTGAGATCAAACAGGCCTTTTGGTGTAAATCATAATTCTACCCCAAAACCATGTGACGCTGTGAAAGTTTTTAAAATTTTCAGTCTCATTTTCCTTCTCTATTGAAAGAATTTATTATATCAATTATGTGTATTTTACAATGAATGCATGAGGATTAATTGAGAAAACTAATATAAAGTAATTTGTAGATTTTATGGATGATTGAGATTATTATCATCTTCTCAACATGCTCCCTAATTTTCTTACTAATATTTCCATGTTTTCTATGTGTTTTTAACCTAGAGATAGAACATCACTGTTTAAATTTATTTTAGATCATTATCTCTCTGTCTCTAGGCCCCCATCTAATATAAATATTTGAGAGTATGGTTTTAGTGACTAAAAATGTAATCATATGGAGTAAACACGAACCAACTTTTTTGTGCATAATGTATAAAAGGGGCTTTGTTTTTCAATCATTATAGTTTCTAATTAGAATCATCTGTTTAGAGTAATGAAATTTGTATAGCACTTTATGTTGAAAATTCAAAAACTTCTCTGCCTGGTGATAGATTTTAATCTTAAACTTAACATTTTACCTCACTTAATATAATATGGGAATTATATGGAATTTTTAACTTAGGGAATAATTAACAGACATGAAGATGCAATGATTAAAATTTGTCTTAACATGTTTGGAAAGTAAATTATCTCTCTTTGCACTTGCAGCTAAGATCTGATTTAGACAATGGAAACAACTCTTTCCAGTACAAGCTTTTGGGAGCTGGAGCTGGAAGTATTTTTGTCATTGATGAAAGAACAGGTGACATATATGCTGTACAGAAGCTTGATAGAGAGGAACGGTCCCTCTACACTCTAAGAGCCCAGGTAATAGACACCACTACTGGAAGGGCTATGGAACCTGAGTCTGAGTTTGTCATCAGAGTGTCGGATATCAATGACAATGAACCAAAATTCCTAGATGAACCTTATGAGGCCATTGTACCAGAGATGTCTCCAGAAGGTATTGCATATTAATTTACGTCAAAGATGTACCTATTAACAATGAAAGCAGATTTAAAATTTCGAGCATATGTTTTGGAAGTGAATTATTTACCGTTCTACACGGGTACTTCCTTCTGCAAATGTGTTAAGTAAAATATTTGAAAAATTAGACTAATGATTAAAATCTTGTAAATAATCATACTATATATTAATAAGTAATTTGTCTTGTTAAAATATAATTTCAGTCTTCAATAGAAAGAAACGTTTATTTGAGTATACATAAAATTCTTTAGCTTGTTCACTTATTGGTTTCTTCAATAAAATAATTTACTTTCCAAAACAAACTATTCTTTTGTATCTCAAAAAATACATAAGATCATCCTGAAAGAGTCACACATAAAAACAGGAGAAACCAATTTATAAGACTAGACTCCTAGATGCATCCAAACAACGGAACATGAAAACTAAAAACAAAACAAATGGTTGAAGACCTCTGTTTAGCCATATCCATTTTTAAGTTCTTTTTCAAACCCAATGTCACTTTAATAAATATTTTAAATATAATACTTGTAGAAGAGAATGCTTTCCATGAGATGTAAATCAGACATGTCTTTCCAATAGGGGGAAAATCATGGTATGGTTATACAAAATTTGTCCACTCATTCTTTGTCAGAAAAGTTTAATAATACAACAGATAGTAAAATTTAATTCACAAAATTTACTTAAGTATGATAAACTTCAATGTGATTTAATAATTGTCATTTTTAAATTATGCTAATGTGCTTTAAAACTGCCTCACCTAAACATTTGATTCATTAGCCAGGAAGTCTAAAAATGTATATTCCATTATATATTTTCCTGATTCTTCATTTTTTTTAACATTCCAGGTAACAATTTAAAGACCTATTTCTACATGTATTCAGAACATAGGTTTTTAACAACAGCCTAAACAAATTTAGCTGTGTAGCATGTATCAAGACAAACTCTCCTTAGATATAATTGACACATTAATATTGTCCTATTTGATAGCTAGGCAGTGATATATTTCTTCTTTTTTAAAATAAATTTATTTATTTATTTATTTATTTATTTATTTATTTATTTATTTTTGGCTGCACTGGGTCTTCTTTGCTGTGCGCAGGCTTTCTCTAGCTGTGGCAAGCGGGGACCGTTCTTCATTGGGGTGTGCAGGTTTCTCATTGCGGTGGCTTCTCTTGTTGCGGAGCACAGGCTCTAGGTGCATGGGCTTCAGTAGTTGTGGCACGCAGCCTCAGTAGTTGTGGCTCGCGGGTTCTAGAGCACAGGCTCAGTAGTTGTGGCACACGTGCTTAGTTGCTCCGCGGCATGTGGGATCTTCCCGGACCAGGGCTTGAACCCGTGTCCCATGCATTGGCAGGCGGGTTCTTAACCACTGAGCCACAGGGAAGTCCTGCAGTGATATTTCTTTTTCCCCTTTCCATTCTTCTCCTCCTCCTCCTTTCTCTCCTCCTCTTCCTCCTTCTTCTTCAACTAACATATGTTATGGGCCTCACATGTTCTAGGAACTTTTTGTAAGACTGGGGATTCAGTTGTAAAGTAAATATACGAAGTAACGGCTAGTATGGAACTTATATTTTAGTTATAGCACACGAACAGTAAATAACTCTTTTAAATAAGCCAGGTAATATTTGACATTGTATGTTATTAAAGTGTTAAGTATGGGTAAAGTATGATGATGATTAATTGACTGGAGGAAATGGGGACATTTAGGAGGTGACATTTGAAGGAAATGATACAAAAGGGCCAGCCATGCCATGTTCTGGGAAAAAAAAAATTCCATTGCAGGGTGAGGAGAATTGCATATATCAGTATTGGAGTTATTGGCATATTGCTGGCATGGAGGGCATGACAAAGGATGAGATCCCCTTAGTAGAGAATTTAGGTAGAGAAAAGGCAAACATACAGGGTGACCGAACTGATAGAACTTAGTTGACTGCTGAATTAGAATCAATGAGATTGGTCAGTCATGTAAGAAAAGAAACACATGAGGAGAGACGTTGCACAAGAAGACATCCTCCAACTCTGTGGAAGCTGCTTTGAGGTTGAATAAAATCAACGTTATTATTTCTCAAGCATTTGGTACAAGTTTACATGCTGCATCACCTATGTAAAATAAGTTTTTGCAATATGATATGTCTGATAAAGTGGGCATAGTCAAATATCGTCTTAAATTTATTTTTATAAAGTCCTTTGCAAAAACTAGATTTAAGATTCTAGAAAGCTGTCTAGAAAGACACAACTGATTTAAATTTTGCATGTTTGAAGAAAATCTCTCAAGGGTAATATAGGCAAACAATATCAACTATCAATGTAATGGATAGAATGCAGAATTGATATATTACAACATATTATGTTGAAGTTTATTATAGGAACAAGTAAACTGAGAAACTACTTTTATTAAAATCTGATTCTGAGACAATAATTTTTTAGAATTAAACTTTTGTTCACTTAACAGGGTAGATACCAACTGATTTAAGAGATCTTCAGGCTGCAAGAGTCCATCATTGGCTCTTTGCATTTCCAAATAGTTTGGCCATCTGTGATCAAGCTATGCTGACTCAACTCAGAGGCTCACAATGACCTTTGGATCCTTCAGTCACCAAGAGAAGGCTTTTCCCACTCTCTGGTCTACATTCCGTGCTAATTCAATTTCATGAATCTAGTCAATTTAAATTTTTAGGAGTTGCCATCAGTTATTCAATTCTAATTACAGGATGGTGTCTTAAGGTGGAATAATAGGAGTTAAGGGTGAGAGGATTCAGTATACACATATTTGTTCTGGGTTATTGGCCCTTCCCTTTACACATAATCATTGTGATCATTTTGCATTGTCACCGGTGTTCTAAAGTAGGGCGATCAGATTTCCAGTTCTACCTATGACAGCCCTACTAAACCCTATTTTTCTTTTTTCTGGCATCTTGTCCTAGAAGCATTTGTCCCTGATTTTTAATTTTTTAAAAATTTTATTAGTATCTGCATTACAACAAGCCAGAGTTAATTTGGTAGACATCTACTTTTTTAACTTGCAGTTTCTTTCATGGTGTGTGAGAAAAAGTGTGTGAGACATGTGGGCAGTGAATAAAGTTGTTTTAAGACATGGTTAAATCTGAAAGAGGGCTAGTTATAACCCAGTACACTATATAATAAAACACAGTTAAGCTAAGAAACCTATTAAATAATGTAAATACGTATGAAGAATATCCTTCTGATGATATATTTCAGGTTAAAATAGTCTGCATAAGATACCTTTCATTAATGTACATATAGACCATTTATCCTTTAGAAATACATTTATTTCTAATATAATTTAGAGAGAATTTAATTTTTGATCCATTAATGTAATAAACCCAACTTTGTCACTTTTAGTGAGAGTACAGTAAAATGAATAAAGAGAGACTAAACAGGTTAGATTATATATGTGACATGTACCATGCTTCATACATTGATCGAGTCAGTAATGCACATTAAAGATGATACGCAACAACTAAGTGTCTGTTGCCTATATTTAACTGGTGACACAAGGAAGGGGGTACTGTGAAACAATTATTGATTATTTCCATGAAAGACACATTATTGGCCTCATAGTGATTTTTTTCAACTTTGTATGCACTATAGTATAGCATACCTAACTGCGAGTGAATGCACAATTCCTCTTACACATGACAAGTCCTCATGGAAAACATAAATATACAAAATATTATCAAATATTTTTGTATTTCTTAATTGCTTTGATGTTTATTTATTATTACTATTTATTTACGTTTGACTATTTTTTGAAGATTTCTACAGTATTTAAATTACTGATTAGGAAAGTATACAGGCTTACTTCTCTCTATTGACTTTTTTAGAAAAAACATTTAGAAAATATTTAGAGGGTTTAAAGTTGCTTAATCTGTATTTAATGAATTGTAATGTCAATAAAACTGAAACAGGAGAAAAGGAAAGACTGAAACAACTGAAGAAAATAAAATCAGATCATCAGAGTGACGTAAGAGTTGAACATTGCTAAAGTCCTTCTGAACTTAATAGGCGACATTTACAAATTATGAGTAAAAATAAAGCAAGACTTTACGCAATGAACTTTTGGAAATTCTGCTGCATATTTGTATCATCTTCATTTATTTTACATTTCTTTTTTCCATGGTAAGTTTATAGTAAGATTCACAGACACATGATTTCACACACACACACACGCACGCACACACACACTCACTCACAAACATAAAAAGTGAATCACTGGTTAGTCATCAATGGTTCGTTATCAAGCACTGTTTGAAACATTGAAACATTGTAGAATTATGCCAGTTCTGTAGGATTGCTACTTTTAATTTAAAAGTGCAGTGAGTCTTATACGGGAGAACAATAATTATTTTCCTAGAAATTGAACTCCCTAACAAATTCACATGAGAGAGTTATTCTGAATATTTATAATATCATATTTTTACCCACTAAATTTTCTGAGTTTGACTTTTTTGGACTTACCCCACATGCAAAGAAATTATTTTTTGTGACATTAATATATTACATTAAGTTTTCCATTTAGTAGAGAAAAAGGTCATGACATATTAGGACATTGAAGAGGTATGTTTTGGTTAGAAGTAAATGAAGCGTCAATTAAAATGGGCTTTAAAATAAACTGAACTGGGAAGGACAACCTAACTCCATAGCTCTCGCCTCTAGAAATGAAGTATGGGTGGTCTATGAGTCAGTGCATTTTCTTGGTCTTCCTGATTCTCATTTGTACGGTACTAAGAAATCTAAAGTCTTAATTAAGAATTTCTCTTGGTCAACAACTAACAGTACAATGATTTTGACTATTGTTACTGAAGCCAGATACAGGTGGTCTAGTTCTGCAAACTAGAGACAGGAAACCCTGATAGAAATAAATGAAATGGAGACATCATGAGGAAATGTAGGGGAAGGAAATGGATGAGTGCATAGAAGCATAGTTAGAAGAACAAGACTTGCCTATTACAAACTGATAGAAATGGTCTCTAAGAAGCCTTTTGTTGGAATAATTCTTTACGATTCCTACAGGGAAATATCTATCTATTCATTTATTTAGTATTTGTATTATTGTGATATAATTGATAATATTGTGTAAGTTTAAGGCATACAATGTGCTGATTTCATACATTTATATATTGCAATGTGGTTACCACTATAGCCTTAGCTATCATTTCCATCATATCACATGATTATCATTTCCGTGGTGAAAACATTTCAGATCTAGTCTCTTAGCAACTTTGAAGTATATAATACAGTATTGCTGATACTGTATAATCACTATAAGGTACATAATCTCCTCAGAGCTTATTCATATTCTAACTGTAAGTTTGTACCCTTTGACAAACATCCCAATTCCCCTACAACCAAGACCCTGGTAACCAGTAATCCACTGTCTCTGTAAGTTCTGCTTTTTTTTTTTTTTTTTTAAGATTCCTCATATAATTCATTGCATACTCTGCCTTTGACTTAGCATAATGCCCTCAAGGTCCAACCATGTTGTCTCAAATGACAGGAACGTATTTAAAACACCTGAAACTAATGAGTGTCTACATGTTGAGTGGAGGACAGTATAAAACAAGCGTTAAATAACTAACATAACAATTCTAAAACAAAACAGCAAATACTATCAATACATGCAATTGAGGACCACAGTAAAAGTTTCAACATTTTTATTACTGAAGCATAGAATGGCTTCATGTTAGAATGTGTCAGTTTATAAAATTAGATTATAATGAAAAACTTCATAATGCTAATTTCATATAAAATCACAGCCTATTTGATTTAGTGTCATTTGTGTTGCCATTCTTATTGACATAGAACATAGTGTTTCAAAAGATGTGGATTTCCAACAAGACCCATAATGCTAGATTCCATGTTTACATAAAAATAATTTAAAAGCTCATTAAAGAAATATTTTTAATTTGACCATTAATTTTAAACATACAAATACTTATTTCCCATGAGTTTTATTGATTGTTACTGAATTTTAATGAGAATACTTACCTTATCAATCTCGTAGATTTTGTTTTGCACTTTAAAAAAAATCTTTAAAGAAAGTAGGCATTTTACAGAAGGGGATGAAGCAAGCCAAATAATTATGCTTATCTTCACACTATGTCGAGATCATTTCAATAATCTTTATTAATATTTTACTAATATTCTGTAATTTTTTGAGGTACAGGCCACAACATAGTTTTTTGAAGAAAACTGTTTCTAATTTCCCTTTGATTCCTCTGCTAACTGTTTCTAAATTCCCTTTGATTCCTCTCCTCCATCTTTAAATGATCCTTAATTACGTATTGTAACGGGTTGTTTAATAGTTATATTTCATTAGATCATGGATTCACATATTTAAAACTGTATATGGTGTATGGAAATTAGGGTTATTTTGTATAAGGTTTTATTTTCTTGTCTATACAGAAAGATACTTGTTTTATAATTCAGAACAGGGAGGACTAGTCTTTTATTGCATATCATCATCCTCCTTGCTAAAGAAAGAATACCTTACAGAACTGGAATCCATTTTTCAAGAAGACCATAGACTTAATTTCTTGTAACTATGTATTTTCTCTTCAGGAACATTTGTCATCCAGGTGACAGCAAGTGATGCTGATGATCCTTCAAGTGGCAATAATGCTCGTCTCCTGTACAGCTTACGACAAGGCCAACCATATTTCTCCATTGAACCAACAACAGGTATTCCTGGAAGAAACGAAGTGCAATTCAACATGATTCTAAGGCAAAGTCAGAGCAAAAGTTCTCTGCCTACAAACATGTTGTAAAGTAGACCTGATGTTTCAATAAATAAATGGGTTGTAATGTTAAGCATTTAATTATTTTTAATCTTTTAGCTGGTTTTTCTAATGTTGGGAGATTGGATTTTTCTCACCCATACCACAAATGATTTGTGTATGGGATATAAAACATACTTAAGGATTATTACAAATTAATTACAGAACTACAGACAACCCAATTTAAATATATGGGGAAAAGACATTTACAAACAATTGGCAAAAAAATCGACAAACAGAAAGCCTGCACGCATATTAAAATTGCTCAACCTCATTAGTCATCATGGAAATGCAAATTAAAATCACAGAGTTCCACCTGTACACCCAGCCAGAATGAGATTAAGCTGAGTTTATGGCTGGGTGTAGGAACTTAAAAAAAAATAGTTCTGTATTGTATGTCTTTTTGATTCACATGAATACAACATTTGCTTTTTCTGTCCTTCTCCAATTTCTGTTAATCAATTGAATACTTTATAAAATAAATTTAAAAATTGCTCTTATTTATTTACATCTATTAAACAGTTAAGAATTATGTGCCATTGATTGATGGACAAATATTGATTGCTTTGGTCACTACAAAGATTAAACCCATATAAATGAGCTTATAGTCTCTAAAGATGAGAAAAAAAAAATACCTGACTAACCAACGAAGAATGTGGCAAGTTCCAAAAGCAATAAAATTCTGTGATTGTTAATGAGACAAATATTTCCATCTTGATGACATGAAAAGCTTTAAAAAATTAAAGCATGTGTTGGGTCTTTAAGCATTTGTTATTGATTCATTCATTTAGCAAGTATTAAATAGGTCAGCCTTTATCAGTCAAGTTTCTTTTGAGAATCAGATTCTGAAAAATATGATTTGAGTGACTATATTCTTAATTCTCCCCGGGATAATACCTAGTTTCTATTATTCTGAAAGTACAGGTTAAAGTTATTTTAGTACATGCAGTGGATGCCTTAAGACATTCCCTTACACAATTTTGGTTGAGAAGGGTTGAATATGCAACAGGCATTGTACAGTATACTAGGTTTACAGCAGGACACCATTGCAACATTAAAAAAATAATAATAGGGCTTCCCTGGTGGCACAGTGGTTGAGAGTCCGCCTGCCAATGCAGGGGACACGGGTTCGTGCCCCGGTCCGAGAAGATCCCACATGCCACGGAACGGCTGGGCCCGTGGGCCATGGCCGCTGAGCCTGCGCGTCCGGAGCCTGTGCTCCGCAATGGGAGAGGCCACAACAGTGAGAGGCCCGCGTACCGCAAAAAACAAAAACAAAAGCAAATAATAATAACAATAAAAGGAAAGCAGCAGGGACTCTTTTCTCTTGGAACTTACAAATAAATATTAAACATTTGTGTATTAATAAATACATGCATTAAGTTTGTGAATATTATGAAGTGAAATAAACAAGGTTCAGTAGAAGAAAGTAAGAACTCCTTCATATTGTGTGGCCAAGGCAGAATACACTGAAACCAGAATGCTGAGCTGTGATGTGACCAAGGTGAGGAGAGCATGGAAGGCATTCTAGGTTATGGGAAGAATGTATAGGAAATTCCTGAGAAAGGAGAGTGTTTAAGCTCTTAGACTAACTAGACACCAATGTGAAAAAGCACCGAGGAGGAGACTAGAAAATGGGCTATCTGTGTAGTAGATGTGTGCTGGGTGACACTGGATCTTCACAACCATTTTGATCACTGTCTGTTCCTCCAGCCCTCACTGGAGGGCTGAGCAAATTAGCTGAACATATTGAGCAAATTAGCTAAAGCAATTAATTGTATTAATGGAGGAGCAGTAGAGCCGACAGCAAGAGAGCAAGACAATTGGAAGCCAAAGCACAGAAGTGGTAAGTTTTCGAGTGTGTAAGAGGATCTAGGAATATATGTCCTTTATCCATTCTGAAGGTAAGAAGACAGGTTGAAAATAAAGTCAGCAAAGTTAATTGAAGCCTCCATACATGGGAAGTGAAGGCCTCTGTGTTCGTCTCACTCGCTGACTAATCTCTACACCTAATACTTTAATACTATTCTCCTTTGCTAATAGGAAACACAATTCTCTGTTGAGTCACACACAGGGAGATATTAGGAGCATGTGTTTCATATATTCCATGGTTTCCATACTGATTCATATAATATAGTTGTGAAACACTTCAGTCCACAATTAAAATCTCATCATAATGTGGTCCAATTTGTCCTTCTTTTATTTTTTTACAATTTTTTAATTAACACTTTTTCCCCAGACATATTTGAAGATTAGCCATTCTCTTTCTTATATTTGTATTATGTGTTCCCCAAATCTTTAGGATTACAACCCTTCTATTCACCACCTTAAATTTTTCCTAGGTTGTTTTCAGTGATGATTAACTTTTTACTAAATAATTTTATAGAAAGTGGACATTTATTACCACATTTCCATGGTCCAATATGTATATGAATATCTCTGTTGGTGGATTATGAATAACTGTGAGTCAAAAATCAGCTCTTCTTCATATATTATGACTCAAAATAAACTTAACATCACAGGTGCACAATATTTTTGCATAAATTTGGTATTATAGTTTTACATGTATCCATAATAAACTAACTTCTTCTAAGTGTAGGGGAAAAGTTAATCGTAGAGCCCTAATATTATGTTAGAGAAGAAAGCAGAAAATAAGTTGAGGTAAAAATAAGACATTCTTCTTCTCTCCCTGTGGTTTATCTTAACATAGTATTTTATTAAGATTCCACTAGTATTAGTATTGTGATGGCCACTCTAAACTTCAGGCAGAGGTGGTGATTGACTGATTATTGTTGTATTTTTTTCTCCAGGGCAGCATCTAGCACATTGTAGTGGTTCAAAATGTGTCAAAAGAATGATTTTATGTTTGAATTCTTAAGAAATTAACTAGGAAGATGCCATGGTTAATAATGAAATAATAATTATAGTTTATTATGTCTTTAAAGGAGTCATAAGAATATCTTCTAAAATGGATAGAGAACTGCAAGATGAGTATTGGGTGATTATTCAAGCCAAAGACATGATTGGTCTGCCTGGAGCACTGTCTGGAACAACAAGTGTATTAATCAAACTTTCTGATGTTAATGACAATAAGCCTATATTTAAAGACAGTAAGTAAAAAGGATTCTAATAAATAATTTTTGAAAGTATGGGAAATAGCACAAACTAAGTCTTGATTTAGCAAAGTGCTTAAAGCATCTGCTTTCAGATTTAGGGTAGTGTCACTCTTTCCTCCAGATTAACTTGTTGGCAATTTTTAATTTGTACAATCAAATGAACGGTTCTTTTAATTTTCCCACAATGAAAGAGACACAGTAGCACAGTTACACTATTACTTCCTGAAAACAGCAAAATATTACCAACTTTAAAGTAACATTTCTCCCACTTAAAAAAGGAAAATCTCACAAAGCAGTCTGTGGAATGACCTGCTATATGCTACTAAGGAAGTCAAGAATCCCTTTAAAGAAAAATTATACTGAACATTCTCCTTTTTTTAATTCTAAAAAGATTTATTCTTTAGGATATTAACACCTGTGATTATTTTGTACATTTTAGCATAAATTACAAATGATATATGAATGACTAGTTCTTTGTAAGTTTTATGCAAGTTACTTTTGAAAAGTAAAGAGAAAAAACCTTATTTATATTTATATCTATGTATTTCAAATATAGCTGCCAGTATTTTCTTGTGACCAAAACAATGGGGTCATCTGACTTCATCTTTCTCTCTCTTTTTAAAATTTATTTTATTGAGACATAGTCGATTTACAATGTTGTGTTAATTTCTACTGTACAGAAAAGTGATTGAGTTATACATATATATAATTCTTTTTGATATTCTTTTCCTTTATGGTTTATCAGAGGATATTGAATATAGTTCCCTGTACTATTCAGTAGGACATTGTTGTTTATCCATTCTATACACAATAGTTTGCATCAGCTAGCCTCAAACTCCCAATCCATCCCTCCCCCACCGCCATCCTCCTGACAACCACAAGTCTGTTCTCTATGTCTCTGAATCTGTTTCTGTTTCATAGGTAAGTTCATTTGTGTCACATTTTAAATTCCACATATAAGTGATATCTTATGGTATTTGTCTTTCTCTTTCTGAGTTACTTCAGTTAGTATGATAATCTCTAGGTTCATCCATGTTGCTGCAAATGGCATTATTTCATTCTTTTTTATGGTTGCATAATATTCCATATCTTTCTTTTCCATTTCCACTAATGGAATGGAATTAATGCAATCCAGGCTCAGATTCTCAAAGTCAAACTATTACCCTTAGAACTCAACTATTTGTTTTTGGACTCTACCGTCTTTAATTCATACTTATATTGGGTTGGCCAAAAAGTTCGTTCAGGCTTTTTTGTAACATCTTATGGAAAAACCCAAATGAACCTTTTGGCCAACTCAATATTTATTGGTTATTTTAGGTATCAGAGAATTCTTGAGTGAAATTGAAAAACTCTTTTAATTAAATTTAATTTGGCATGGTGGAAGGATACAATAAAAATAAACCTAAGAATATTGAGAAGGTATACATATGAATAGAAATTTGGAAATTATATGTACTGGTGAAAGGACTTCCTAAGATATATTTAAGAGAAAATAATAGATACTCAAAAAGATATGAGGGAAATGTTCAGATTGCAAAATAATAAAGGGAGAGAGAGAGCAACAGAGAGAGGTATTTAGAACAAGTAATTGGTGAAAAGGGTGGGTATGATTTTCCCGACAGCCCATAATAAAGGGAGGGTGTTATATTTAGGAGTTTTTTATGTTAATTATCTGTGCAAAATATCCTAAATTTTGTTTTTAAAGGTTTATTTCGCTTGACTGTCTCTGAATCTGCATCTGTTGGGATGTCGATTGGAAAAATCATGGCATATGATAATGACATAGGAGAGAATGCAGAAATGGATTACAGCATAGAAGATGATTCAAAAACGTTCGATGTCATTACTAATAATGAGACCCAAGAAGGAATAATTATATTAAAAAAGGTAGATGCATTAAAATTATTTGTTTTGCATAATAATGCAAAATCAAATCAGAAATGCATATATATTTTGTGTAACCAGTTAGTTTTTGCTTTGTTACGTAATTAAAATAAGACCCTGTGATTTAGTTTAGGGAGCAAAAGAAAAGATATATTATATGTGCTTTTATAAAAAATTCTAAGATATTTCATTTTTTAGAATATTAACATATATGATTATTACCTACATCTTAGTATTAATTACAAATAATAATATACAAATAGCTAATTATCAGTTTTATGCAAGATACTTCTGAAAACATAAAGAAAAAAGCTCAGTTATTTATATTTTATATCTATATATTTCAAATATAATTGATGAGAGAGTTAATTGTTACCGAGATCTTTTGAATTATATTGTAGAGTAGTTTTTTTTAAAAGATTTTAATACACAGGGGAAACTTTTTGAAATTATCTTAAATAACAGGAAATTAATTCTCAACTCCATATTTATACTCAGAAAAGTATACTTTTAATCCTAGATAAAAAATATAATTATTAACCCAAAACATTTTATAATAGACATAAATAACAAAATACACATAGGGATTTGCTACACAACTACTTAATGAAAATATCAGAGGGATCCAAGAACATAAATAGTAAAACCTAACTGGAAAGCAACTGAGACTTAATTTAACAACAAAAACTTTTTTTTCTTAAGTAATTCCTCGGGTCACTGATACCAGTTTTCTGTGTACACTGCATTTCTTTGCAGAGAGTAGACTTTGAGCACCAGAACCACTATCGTATTAGAGCAAAAGTTAAAAACCGCCGAGTTGATGAGCAGCTCAGGAAATACCATACTGAAGCTTCCACCACTTTCATCAAGATCCAGGTGGAAGATGTTGATGAACCTCCTGTTTTCCTCCTCCCGTATTACTTATTTGAAATCTTTGAAGGAAGCCCGTACGGATCATTTGTAGGCACCGTCTCTGCCACAGATCCAGATCAGAGGAAATCTCCTATCAGGTATGTCTGGAAGGCCAGCTTTGCATTAGTAAATGAGGGAACACAGATTAGCTTGAAAATAAAATTTCATATTAATGTAACAAGGATATATCTAGATCTGTATTTCTCTCTAAGGTACTTATAAAATTTGCAACAGTTTAAACAAGTTGAAACAGGAAGCCTCACTATTGGTTAAGATGCAGTGAAATAAGAACTTGAAAACGTGCAAGAAAGAGGCAATCACCAACTAAAATTAGATACAGTCAACTCTCTATTAATTGGGGTAAGAAGGTGAGGGAAAAGAAACCCTTGATTATGCCAAATCAGAGCAGAAACAAAGCTGATCACAATGTGGTTCATCTAAACACTGTTTAATTAAAATGATATTCAAAAATAAACTAAGCTTTTATAGGGTACTGCTAAAGGAGTAAAAGTGAAGTAAGTCCAATCAATTAGAAATAAATTTCTGTGTTGCAATTAAACAATATTTACCATCTATTAAATTAGTCTGTTATATTCAGGTAGTATATTTTCTTTCTGTTTTTTTTTGTATTTGCATCATAGTTCTGGTTAAAAATAAAAGCAAAACCTTTTACATGTTTCCTTCCACCACCTTCCCTTGCTCATCCATTTTCCATACTTTACAGTCCAGGGACTTACACAAACTTCCATATATTTATTAAGGTGCTGGGTACTGCTTTGCTCTTTGGAAGAGCTACTGACACAAAGAAGAGCTTCTTTAAATTTCTGAGAGAGACGATGCTCCCACTTTTCCACTGTAATTCCTAATCATAAAATGCTGCCTTCTAATATGTAGATACAGTTCCTGTTTATTAGGAGGAACTTTAATAATGAATATAAGTATATATGTGTGTGTATATACAAGTCAGTAAATTAATTGTTTAGATTTTAAAGAGTATATTAACCTGTTTGTTTTTCTGACAATACTAAAGAATACATAATTTTAAAAAATGCTTTCATGATTGAATCTTTCATTATATTATTCTTTATAATAATAAAATTGTAGAAACAATTTAAATATCTAATCTCAGTGGTGTAAATAAGGCAATGAATGATGAATGCTTTCTAATGATGCTTATGAACATAAAGACATGGCATGATTCTTTAAAAATAATACAAAATCAAAAATAATAATAATAATAAAAAATCATTAGAGTCGTATGTTTACTACAAGTAAAATATTATGTAAAATAAATGAGAAAAATAAGTGAGCACACCCAAATATTAACAGAGGTTGTGTTTTTTTGGTTTTGTATTTTTAATTTATTTAACTTATTTTTTATACAGCAGGTTCTCATTAATCATCAATTTTATACACATCAGTGTATACATGTCAATCCCAATCTCCCAATTCATCACACCACCACACCCACCTGCCCGCCACTTTCCCTCCTTGGTGTCCATATGTTTGTTCTCTACATCTGTGTCTCAATTTCTGCCCTACAAACTGGTTCATCTGTACCATTTTTCTAGGTTCCACATACATGCGTTAATATACGATATTTGTTTTTCTCTTTCTGACTTACTTCACTCTGTATGACAGTCTCTAGGTCCATCTGCGTCTCTACAAATGACCCAGTTTCATTCCTTTTTATGGCTGAGTAATATTCCATTGTATACATGTACCACATATTCTTTATCCATTCGTCTGTTGATGGGCATTTAGGTTGCTTCCATGACCTGGCTATTGTAAATAGTGCTGCAATGAACATTGGGGTGCATGTGTCTTTTTAAATTATGGTTTTCTCTGGGTATATGCCCAGTAGTGGGATTGCTGGGTCATACGGTAATTCTATTTTCAGTTTTTTAAGGAACCTCCTTACTGTTCTCCATACTGGCTGTATCAATTTACATTCCCACCAACAGTGCAAGAGGGTTCCCTTTTCTCCACACCCTCTCCAGCATTTGTTGTTTGTAGATTTTCTGATGATGCCCATTCTAACTGGTGTGAGGTGATACCTCATTGTAGTTTTGATTTGCATTTCTCTAATAATTAGTGATGTTGAGCAGCTTTTCATGTGCTTCTTGGCCATCTGTATGTCTTCTTTGGAGAAATTTCTATTTAGGTCTTCTGCCCATTTATGGAATGGGTTGTTTGTTTTTTTAATATTGAACAGCATGAGTTATTTATATATTTTGGAGATTAATCCTTTGTCTGTTGATTCATTTGCAAATATTTTCTCCAATTCTGAGGGTTGTCTTTTTGTTTTATTTACGGTTTCCTTTGCTGTGCAAAAGCTTTGAAGTTTCTTTAGATCCCATTTGTTTATTTTTGTTTTTATTTCCATTACTCTAGGAGGTGGATCAAAAAAGATCTTGCTGTGATTTATGTCAGAGTGTTCTTCCTATGTTTTCCTCTAAGAGTTTTATAGTGCCTGATCTCACATTTAGGTCTCTAATCCATTTTGAGTTTATTTTTGTATATGGTGTTAGTGGCTGTTCCAATTTCATTCTTTTACATGTAGCTGTCCAGTTTTCCCAGCACCACTTACTGAACAGACTGTCTTTTCTCCACTGTATATCCTTGCCTCCTTTGTCATAGATTAGTTGACCATAGGTGCGTGGGTTTACCTCTTGGCTTTCTATCTTGTTCTATTGATCTATGTTTCTGTTTTTGTGCCAGTACCATATTGTCTTGATTACTGTAGATTTGTAGTATAGTCTGAAGTCAGGGAGTCTGATTCCTCCAGCTCCGTTTTCTTCCCTCAATACAGCTTTGGCTTTTCAGGGTCTTTTGTATCTACATACAGATTTTAAGATTTTTTGTTCTAGTTCTGTAAAAAATGCCATTGATAATTTGATAGGGATAGCATTGAATCTGTAGATTGCTCTGGGTAGTATAGTCATTTTCACAATATTGATTCTTCCAATCCAAGAACATGATATAGCTCTCCATCTGTTGGTATCCTCTTTAATTTCTTTCATCAGTGTCTTATAGTTTTCTGCATACAGGTCTTTTGTCTCCCTAGGTAGGTTTATTCCTAGGTATTTGATTCTTTTTGTTACAATAGTAAATGGGAGTGTTTCCTTAATTTCTCTCTCAGATTTTTCATCATTAGTGTATAGGAATGCCAATTTTGTATCCTGCAACTTTACCAAATAATTTTGTATCCTGCAACTTTACCAAATTCATTGACTAGCTCTAGTAGTTTTCTGGTGACATCTTTAGGATTCTCTATGTATAGTATCATGGCATCTTTCACAAGTGGAAGAGGCTGTCTTTAAACATCTTTCACCTGTGCATTATAAAAGTACTTTAAAATTCTTGAAAGATCTGGTGGAGTTGCACCTACTTGGGAATCTCTAGGCTTTGTATATGGGCTTGGCTATTATGTGCCTCAGTTTTTCTTCTGGGAAGTGGGAATAGTAGAGGCGTACAAAGATTAAGAACCTGATATAAAGACATCCTTATATGTATGGAAGAATCTTTTGTTTCTATCATTCTGTCAAGAGCTCTTAGCAATGAGAAAACATTACATAGCCACATTCTATTCACTCAGCATTTTTAGAGGAATGAAGAGTCTTTAAAAAAGGAACTGTGAAGCAAACCAAAGATTAAAACTTTATTTTTTAAGCTTTTTAGTTCAAGCTCTTTCTAATATGTATTACACACTTCTTTCCTTTCTTAAATGGTGTGTATTCACTATTATTTTAAATGTTACTGATGACTCAGGGTCATAATTTTTTAAAACTTTTATAAGGAAATAATCTCAAACTTTTGGTTGGTTTTATTTGGAATGGTGTATTATAGAAACAGGATACTCTGTACCCTTACTACAAAATATTAAACTACTGTTTCGTTTTGTCAACAAGTCTAAGTAGGAAATGTGACCACTTGTGGATATGTAAGCAAATTGCTTATAAAGGTTTAAAAATGAGTAGAGCTAAAACCAAATTCTTTTAAAGCTTAATTCTTTGTAGTTTCTGTTTTAATTTTCCCCTCAACACCAACCTACAAATTATTGTGATATTTTTAGAGAACTGTCAATTCAAGATTAAAATATTCTCATCTTTTGCCACATAATTATGGTAAATCTCATTGATGTCTTATCAAAATCTTTAGGAATATATATGCAATGAGAAGGCATCACTGAACCCTAGTTATTACTCTTCTTTAATTTTAATTATTGATCATTTGCAAGCAGATAAGACATGCTGAGTACTTCAAAGTCTTCTTTCATTGTGGAATTTGAGATTATTTTCCGGGCTTTTGCATGAGAGAATTCTATTATCTGGCTTCTTTCCATGCATGATCTAATAATAGCACATTACACCTACTATCCTTACTTCCTCACTTTCAGGAGATATGTTTATATATGTATATATGTTTATATATGTATATATATAGATATGGTTATATGTGTATACACACACATATATATGTATATAAATATATGTAATAAATACATACTTTATTTTTATTAGATATTATCTAATTATTTCCTTAAATAAAAACAAACATTTCTCATATGTCAGCAATCAAGTAACTATAATATGATGCACAGATTTAGAAAGTAACTATGTGGTGTAACAAGGAGACTCAGCAGCCTAAACTGAGAATTTGTTTTACATTGCTTCAAAGGAAAAAATAGGTTCACAAGCTTTCATTTTTACCCCCGTTTATTTGTACTTCTCTTCATTTTGCAAAAGACATTTGCCATTTCTTTTTAACCAAGTCATTCACTTATGAAAATTCTCTTCTGGGAATAAGAATGAGTGACATGTGTCTAGATTTCACACGTGTCAATTGAAATCTAGAACTGTTTTAGGTTTTTGGTGTTTTTTGTTTCTGTCTCCATTGAGTTGAATCTTAAATGTAGAATGCACCTTTCTGAAAATTGTTCAGCATTGCATTAGCTGTGTAGAGTGTGGACCTGATAATATTTTATTGCTTAAAAAGAGTGTTATACACTCTTTAAAGAGTATTATATGGGGAAAATAATTAAATTAAGGAGTTATTTTTGTGTGTGCAGGTATTCTATTACCAGAAGCAAAGTGTTCAGTATTGATGACAATGGTACAGTCTTCACAACTAACCCTCTTGATCGAGAGATTAGTGCTTGGTATAACCTAAGTGTTACAGCCACAGAAAAATGTAAGTACTCATTTGGGAACCATATATTGGTTCCCCATATTTTTTAAACCATTCAGTAATCTCTAAACATAGAGACAAAAGCTAAAGTGTTGCTGAAATTAGAATTAAATGGTATTTTATATGTCAATTCATACATGTGTATTTAATTTATTATTTTAAATTCAAAATGTCTGCACATTCTTACTACATCTTATTTATATACTTACCACTAAATATCTTCATTTTTATTATGGCAATAAATAATGTTTAATGCAAGAAATAAATCATGGAAAATTCAGAAAAACACAAGAAATAAACAAAAAATCCCTTGAAATTCTAAGAACTTTTAATTATATAATTATATGTTCTTACCATATTTTTCATGAATGCATTTTTAAATCAATTTTTAAAAATTGAATATAAATTTTGTAAGTTTTTTCAAACTGGATATATAAAATATTGCCCAGTAAAATGTGTTCAAATTAAACTCATTGTGTCAGCAGTGCTGATAGTCACATCTTTAATAATCAGTAGTGACCAGTTTTTTTCCACAGAGAAGCAGATGATTCCATTTTCAGGTTGCAAAACATAGATAAAATCATCCCAGTTTAACACTTAGATTGTGTCTTCAGAATTCTCAATCAGAATTAGATCAACCATATTCATTCAGGCTCAAAAGAATAGATAGAACACAATGGAAAGGATTATCAAAATCTTCCCTATTACTTAGTCAATGGTTTTAATATAGTACAGTAAAGGATTCAATTTGTGAGTTTTCAATATTTTAGATTGCATCCTTTCAAAACTGATTTTGCATAGAATTTTAGTAATCGTGTTTACTTTCTTGGCTTGTTCTTTGAAAGTCTTTGAACATATATCTTACTACTCACCTTATTGAGCAGTAGGCTGATGAGACGGTGGAGTACAAAGCATCTCTTGCATACTTTTTGTCATACATTGAATAGCTCTTTGGAAACTGCAGAAAGACTGGGTCTGGGTTTTGAATTTTCTGTTTAACTAAACGATAAATGATGGGGAGCAAATGTTGCAGGGGAGTAAATGCCTGCTGCACAGAAGAAACGCCAAGGCTTTTGGTGTCAGAAAACACAAAGATGTTTGTCTAAAAGCAAGAAACTTTTATTCATTGCATATTTCTGAGAACAAATTATTTATATCATTACTTACAAGACTGCTGAGAAAAGAATTCAAATCAGTTCAAAGGAGGACTGGACATCTTTGAAAAATGTGTTTCTATGTAAAGTAGCCTTCAACTATTGAAAGAGCATGTTTTAATGAATTTATGTAAATAATTAGCCACTGTAATCTTATTTTATATATAAGGGGAATTTTTTGTAAGACTATATCATTAACTTCTGTTAAATGAGAAGTACTACAATTTAAGTGATTAAAAAGCAGAGTCTTTAAAATGTGTTATTTGTATTGTTAGACATAAATATTGTGTCCTCTTCTCTAAGAGGAAGGAAGGAAAGACTTTTCCCTAATTTTCAACAGGTAGAGTTAAGCCTCTTTTTTTTTTTTTAAGTTTGTATTTGCCCTTATGAATTACAATTGCAAATATAATGCTTTGTGATTTTAAAAGAAAGAGCATGTAAGATTATAAATAAAAACACTGAGACCAACAAAAGAAACTCCCTCTCCCCACTCTTCAATGTATGTACCTTCCCATGGCTTTTTAAAATAAAAAAGAAAGATTTAAAATAATGATATACAAATATACAATACCTTATGCTGCAAATTGTTTTTTAGCACTTCACAAAACATCATGTATATTACTTCTAGTTAGTAGATAAATAAAATAATAGTATTTAGTGTTTATTGCTTATTTATATAAGTGATCTTCTAAATGTTTCATATGTATTAATTCATTTAATCTTTATAACAGCTCTATAAGCTTGTTACTAGTATCATTTCCATTTTACAGAAAACCAACTGAGACAAACAGTGGTAAGCATTTTTCTCAAATTGAGAACCAAGATTAAAATACATTTTTAAAGTTCATGATATTACTACATGTGTTACATTGATGCATTCATTTTTAATAAGCATACACAATTTCATAGTTTGGTGGTAATTTATTTCCCCAATCCCTTTTGGGTTACTTCCAGTTGTTTGGTTGGGATGCAAACAATTCTGGAATAAATAAATTGGATTACAGACGCTTATATATTGGTGCCTTGGACTGTAGCATAGGTTTCCCAAACTAATGACTGGGTCAAAGATATGTGTTGTTTAACTTTTACTATCCATTGCCAGATTAGGTTCTAGAAAGGGCTAACATCCCACTATTTTTAATCCTTCCACCATCACTGGCTCTGTGTTTCATATTTAACACAAGGACTAAATTATCATTCTCCTCATTTCTGGTGAGCAAGCGCCTTTGTGAAAGTTATGATAGAGCAACACATCTCAACTGCAGGCACTTTTACCTCCTAGTACATTTGACCATGTCTGAAGACAATTTAGATCATCACAACTAGAGTGGACGGTGCTCATGTACCTGACTATCTCCTTTACTTTTACTACTTTTCCTCAACAGCTCCTACAGTCCATGGCAGATACAAGGCACTGGATTAACACTGGTTGAGCTGAATGTGTTGAGAACATTTTTTCTAGGCTGTATTGTTGATAAATAGATGAATTATATACCTATCCTGTCCTCAGCTTTTATTCAAGTAAAATAAAAATATACCACGTAGCCTCTAATGCAGTTTTCATGACCATTTTTCCCCTAAAGACAGCATTAGCATTCTTTATTTTCATTCCGTTTATTCAATTTGCAGACAGTATAGAACAGAGTTCTCCAGTCCCTGTGTATGTGCAAGTTCTCGATATCAATGATCATGCTCCTGAGTTCTCCGAATACTATGAGACTTACGTTTGTGAAAATGCAGTCTCTGGTCAGGTAAGAATCCATAATAAATTGCCGACGTCAAAACATTGCCTTGTATTATATAGAATAACTTTTGCTATGTATTCCTCCCACTTTGAAATGATAAAAATAAGCGTTATTTAGCTATATTAATTTCATGCTTTAATGCTGTAAATTCTGTATAATTTAAATTTCTTTCTTTTAAAAAAATATATAAACTTCACATTTTCTACTTCCAAATTCCTCAAATGTTTGAAAAATCTGCTAACAGTCAGGATTCAAGAGTAAATCCTTTGTACTTTGTCAGTTCAATAAAGAAAAATTATTTTTTGTGATTCCATAGAATAAATAATTTTAATTAACTTTTATTTTTCCATTCATCATGAAGATAAAGATAAAATGATATATAAAATATATCAGACATCAACACAAATGAAGCTCAATTTCAAATGAATTACTAAGTATGTAAAGACTTATGAAAGCATACTCATTTTGAAATAAATTTTCATTACTTCACAATTTTTTTCACACATTTTCTCATGTGGAGCTTACCTTTTTTCATTTGTAAAATGTAGAGTTTAAATTAGATTCTTCTTTGAGTGTCTCAGTTCCAGTACACAATAACTTTACATTTTTTTAGGTATCCTATTAAATGTCATAAAACATTTTAAAAACTTATAAACTAGTTTTCAAAATACCGAATAAGTATATATACTATAAAATCAATTATTCTAAGTAGGCTTGAATTTATCAATAAAGCTAGCTGAAGACAATTTGGATTTTACATGGGTCTTAAAATGTCTTGTGAAATTTATTCAGCTAAGTTTATGCTAGAATACGTTTTATTCAAATTTTCAAATCTTGCCTATAAGTATTTCCTAAATATTTTTAAAAATAATAAAAAATGATTATAAATATACAAATGAATTTAAACTTAAAATATCTATTTTAAATGGATTTGTACCCAGGGTTTTTGATAAAGTTTTTGATAAAGTGAAAGGTTAACATAAAACTTTCAGAGACTCTCCACAATGCAGCACACTGTCCTCTAGATCCAAAAGCAAACTGATTTAGAAACCTGTGAACATACAACATAGGATAGAAAGATTCAAAAACAGAATGCAAGTGAACTGGGACCCATCGCTTCTATAGACACTGGGCTTAGACATCTCTTTAAACTTGGTGTTACAAATAGATCTATGCTTAAAAATTTGATATATCTAAATTTCTCAAGCATTTCAAACATACCTGGTTACCTGGACACATCAACAAATAGGCAACTTTTTAAAAAATCACGTAAATAATTCATGTAAATCTAATAAATGATACTTTAAATGTAGTAACTCAGTTGCCTTAAAAGTCACATAATTTGGGGAATAATCAATTTATCTTACAATTTTCTAACCTATACATATTTACATATGTCAGGTAAATTATATTTTTACAATTATTATAAGTAGTACTATATTTTATAGTTATATATGTCAAATTTAAAGTATAAAACTAGTGTGGTTTGTTGTTTTACATACTTTACGTAAATATGAATATATTCAGAGTACCCCATTGACGGGACAATGTAGACTCAAACTTAAAAAAAAATAGGCTTAATTTACTTCATACGCTATACATTTCTTTCTGTAAATGTCCTTGGTGGTAAGTCCACTTACCCAACAAAATTGCATGTTCAGCAGTCTTGACCAGGCTGAGTTGAGCAGAAGATTTGGGAATGCAACATGATTTACACAGTAAAAGACTTAGACCAGAGCTCTAGCTCATGGTGATAAATGCTTCTAGAATAATGCTACCTATGTCCAATGACTACACTGGAACTTTTATCCTAACTCCTCAATTGTCATTTATAATAACAATCATAATTTAAAATGCTTATAAAAACCTTTTGCAACTTTTGCATCATGTGGCAAGATGGAGATATACATTCCTAGTAGGAGCTAGCTCCCTTCACTATTGCATTAGAATCCATTCATGTATTTACTGACTCAGTGGACCTTTCATTCTTTTCACAGACCCTGACTCTTAGGCAAGAACTCAGAAGTCAGTACATTTATAATATAGCAGAATAATCACCTTTTTTGAGAAATGAGTGTTTGTTTTTTCTACTCATTGCTCACTGACAGTGAAAGCATGATCATAAGAATCTTTGGACATTAGGTACAGAGGAAATAATAGCAGAAGGCAGAGCAGTTGAAATTTCCTACAGCACAGTTTTCTGACTTCAGTGTTAAAAAAAACTTCAGTGGTTTTTCCAAAACTAGCACATAAAAGTGCAAAACTCCCTGGCCTCATATTTATCACTGTCTGATTTGGTCACAATTTGATCTACCTTGATTTAAAAAAAAAAATCTTGTTCATACTCTGAACTGCTTGTTTTTTAAAGCATAGATAACACTTTCTAATTTGTAGTTTTGTTCATATCAACTCTCCTTTCTGAAATGTCTTTATCTAATTCTGTTTAAATTTTAACTATATTGCAAACTGAACTCAAATTTACCATAAGTAATCTAACCAATTTTAAACAAATAAATAATGTTGACAATGTCCCACACATGATTCTAGCAAACACTATAGCATTAACCCATTTAATTCTCAAGAAATATATGAGGAAAATATATTACATGCCTCATTTTCCAGGTGAAGAAACTGAGGCCCAGAGAAGTTACTTCCTAAGAAAAAACAGAGAGATATTTTATAACAAGTGCTGGCATCAGAATCCACGCATTTCACCATCATGTTTTTGCTCCCTATCTATACCTAGTTTGAATAGATCTTATACATTTGTCAAACAAGTTGTCTCTAGTTTTGCATGTTTTCTAGATTATAAGATATTTGTGATAAATGAGCAAGTTTATTTTGATATTCTTGATAATAATAATTAGCTGAATATATGAACAGAGCATGAAGACTATGTTTCTTGAAACAATGATACGGTATTTTTCTCTACAATTCTCTGTAGATATACATTTGAATTTATTAGCCTATATGTGATATTTAAAACTTTTAGTGTGTTAAGATCCCTTAAGGAGAGAGGGTAGACAGAGAAAAGACTAAGTCTAAAGACTGAGACCCAGATACTCCGTAGTAAGTACTGGGAGTTGTAAGGAGCAAACCAGGAGAGTATGGGAGCCTAGAAACCAAATAAAGAAAGTGTTCCAAGGGGGAGGGAGTTATTACCTTTTTTATTTACTGCTTACAGTCAGGTAAAAGCAGAAAAGAAAAGGTCCATTCGAATTCAACAATTTGGGACTTACTAGAATATTTGTAGGTAAGAAAGTATATGATGTCACCCAGGAAGAAAATTATAAAGTGAGAATATGAAAGAACATAGGGCAGAGCCTTTGGGAACAGCAATATTCAAGGATTTGCTAAAGGAAGAGAAGCCTGCAAAAGATACTAAGTAGGTGTGACCAGTGAGGTAAAAAGGAAACAAAAAGATTTTTGATGTGGACATGCATAGAGGTGATAGTTTTTGAAGGAAGAAGTATCAATAGCCTCCATTCCCACTATTTCAGGGGAAAAAACAGCTCTCACAGTTCACCATTTGGTCATTTACTTAAAAAAAATGTATTTTATAAACAATTCACAGCTATATAAAGAGACAGTGCCAAACAACTTTATTAAAATGTGGCAAACCAAAATTGCACCGGACGCTTGTTAAGGATGCCAAGGAAGATGTTATTCAAGATTATTACAAAAGGTTCAGACTATTGCAGTAGGGGAGAGAGAACTTAAATCTATTGAAACCAAAAGCAGGAGAGTTTTTAAACACTGGTGTGAGCTAGTGAAAACGTCCTGGAGGGCACGTCAGCAGAGAGGTTGGTCAATGTGATTAGACCATCTACGTTTGCTGATTGACTCTTGCAGAAGTTAGGCTCCCGATCTCCCATAGAGACCGGGAGATAGGGGCCCTGTCTTTCTTGATGATTACATTTCAGAGGAATGGTTTCCAGGTCCTTGAGAAAGACCATCTGGCATTATAAAGTGAGAAAAGGCTGGGAGAAGATTTATCTCTATTCCAAAGGGACAGAGAAAGATTTTGTGATTAGAAGTTTTCTAGTGTAATTGTTCTAAGAAAATGTACATCAGGAGTCTCTAGTCAGGAAGAAATTTGTCTGAAACTGAGTCAAGCTGAGGGGAATGTTATGACCCTCCTGATCAAATGTTAATAAAATGCAAACATGGCAAATACATATTTGTCAATATATAATACTTTGAGAAGTTTTAAAAAATCTTTTACAGCTCATATTTTTGCTGGAGAATGGCTATCTTCTTTGTTCCATGATTGCAGAGCATTTAATCTTTAGATTTATAGAAAGCAAATAGCATAATCAATCTACTTAAAAAGAAATATTCTATTGCATCGTTTTCCTTCCAGTTACATTTGGATACATTCTGTCTTCACCAATTTTCAGGATAAATCAAATATATTTTGCTGCAAAATTTTTGTATAGATGAAAAAACACTGTCACATTTAATTTTAGCAAAACAGAACAGCCCAGATTCTCATTAAAAAATATTCTGTAAGGAAGTCCTTCCTATTGAATGACTAAAAGGGTGATTACTTTATCCTTAGAATCATATTGTTCACTCATTGATTCTTGATTTTGAAAATATTCATGTGTTCTGTCTTCATCTGAGGACTCACAGTCTAAAGCTTTGTTTACATGATCAGTTTCACCATCTTCTTGAGTCTATAGTGCTGGCTTCTGCTTTTGGTATTCATCTTCTAATTCACCTAAGAACTGTGAAATATCTTCCTCTGGCAATTTTATTTTCTTTGTCATTATGGATGTAAAATTTTAAATTTGAATTTTCTACTGTTTTTAATGAAGAACAATATCAGACTAAAAAGTTAGTGTATCATTGCTTTTATATCTTTTTTGAAAGATGATGCAATACTTTGAGCAATACATTTACAAAGAAGAGAATGGTGCAATGGGAAAATTTATTTTATTGTTGCATCAACCTTCTAGACCATTCATCATACAAGTTTTATATAAGTTTTGAAAAGCACATTG